GGAGTGGGACATGGCGGGTAATGAGGGGTCAGGATTCCGGCCGCCAACAATGTTGTTGTTCCCAACAAAAACAAGTTTTTCGTGTTGGTTTTTGTTGTTTTGCGGCAACCTGGCGGCGGATCCCGCCCCTGCCATTGCATGCTTCACAGTGTAGGCGACACACGCATTATCGGCCCCTCTAGCCTTTTCCGCGTGTGCCGCCGCGTCGCCGCCTTTGACCGCGCCCCACCCCGTCGCTTTTCGCGTCAAAGGGCCCAGGCTGCCGGCTCTGTCTCTCTCGCACTCACGGGGTGTCCCATGGCGGTGCGAGAGAGACGGAGCGACCAAAGCCGGACGGCGTCAATGCCCCAATGACCGTGCGCGGCCTACGTGACGTGGCTTTCACCGACTGAACTGTCGCTCTGTCTCTCTCGCACCGCTGCGAGGCGCGCCGCGAGGGCGAGAGAGACAGAGCCTGAAAGGCAGCGCCGCCCCAGCGATAGCTGGCGGCCTCTCTCTTTGGCGGCAGCGACATAACGAAGCTGACCAATCGATGCGGAGCCCGACAACAGCCCCGCTCTCGCCGAGCCAAGCGTCGGCGCCGGAGGTGGCCGTGGCCCTCAGAAGCCCCGACGACGCCCCCCTCCGCCTCGGAAGCCCAGCGCCAAGCCCGGCTCGTTACGGCCCAAAGTGATATTGTTGTGATCGTCAGAACTTGATGGGCACATAAAAGAGTAACACGGGACACGCTCCTTAACAAGGCGTCATGACGGGAGTGAGGCGCGCGAAGGCGCGAGGGCCGAGGGGTGGGGGAGATGGACCTGGCAGTCGAGATGAAAGAAAGAGGGAGGGGGGGGGCGACCTTCTTTCCCGGCGATTTCCGCGGGGCGCCTGTTTGCCTTGTGCAGCATGGCTGTGCATGTTCATGACGGCCACCGTTCCTGGAACTGCCTGCTTCTGCTGCTAGAGCCGCTGACGCTGGCAAAAAAAAACAACAACAAGCATTTCTGAGAGCGAGCAGCTTCAGGGGGGTCGCGATCTGCATACTGCTGTTCCAGTGTCGCGACACGGCTAAGCTCGCAAAACGCGGGCCGACCAGCCGGGCCGGCGGCGGGGATCGAACACACGTCCTGGCTGGCTGGTGGCGCCGAACCGAGCACCGCGCTGCACCGCGCCGGCGGCAAACTTGTGTAATCATTTCACGCCGCGAAACAACGAGAATAATAGCGCCGCATGCAACTCTGTGCAACTCTGCAACCGGCGCGGTAGTTGCATTGGCGCCGTGTGGGCAGCCTCCGCCATACGCGGCGCCCGGCGGCTTCGGGGTTGTTCGGCCGTGCAATAGGGATGCGGGGCGGGGCGGGGTATCGGCCCCCCAGCAGGCCCGGCCTGAAAGAGGCTGATAGAGCTATTAGGCGAGCATGCAGGCCGGCCAAGGCCCGTCTCGTTCACGTCGGCCTGCTGGGCCTGCTCAGCCTGCTCGGCCTGCTGGGCCTGCTGGGCAATCAGGCGCTTATAGGCCGCCAGGACGGCAGGATGGCACGGGGTGAGTGCGGCAGACAGGGGAAAGGGGGGGGGGGTATCGCGCGCCGCTGCTGCAGTCTCATTGCAGCGGGGCAATGTGACATGCTTCAAGAGCAGGCCGCCCTCCTCCACTGTGGGGCGGCAGGGCCGAGGCGGGGCCCAGGCGGGGCAGCGACGGCTTGTTGTTATAACGAGCACCCTCGACCCCCACCCCGCCCCGCCCCCTCGCGCTCTCACGCCATCTACGTCTCTGTGCCTCATTCAACGCAGGCTGCTGAGATAGTCGCTCCCCCGCCCTCCGTCCCGCTGCGGTCCTGCAAACTTTTCCCCGTAGCTGCACACAAAGGGCCTGCGGGTGGAGGAGCGACTCCGCCGGAGTGGTCAGGGCCGCGCGCTGCCCAGCGGGGCCCAGCGGGGCCCAGCGGGGCCCGGCAGGACCGCCCCGCACTTGCGGGGCCGCGGCGTGGTTCGGCGTGGTTTGGCGCGGCGGCTCGGCGTCGAGACTTCTTGTGGCCGCAGTGCCGCAGTCCACATCAAACGGCGGACCGCGCTGGCCGCGCCGGCCGGCCCGATGCAGATAAGGAGGGGCCGAGCCGACGAGGCAGCCGGGCCGCCACTGCCAGCGTCTGGGCCTCGTTCGGGCGGCCCAACGACCATGTTACGGGGAGACTGCCACAACGTGTCCGCCGCCGACGGACGGACGGACAGACATGCACTAGTCCAGAAAGACGGGCAGACGGACGGACGCGCTCGCAGTGAAAGTGACATGTGGCCGCGGAGACGAGAGTAGCGCCAGGACCGCCGCCGCGCCCGGCCGCGCCAACCGCCACACGCAGTAGTACACCTATCTCCTTTCATATAATTTGCAGAGCGGCGGAGAAAAAGAGGCCAGAGAGGCGCTGGTGGGGGCGGGGCGGGGCGCGGGGGACTGGCGGGCACGTAGCGCAGTGAGCGCGAGTCTGCGCGAGGTTACGCGAGGCGGGACAGGACAGCCACGGGGCTAAAAGGGAGGAATGCACGGAGCAAGTCGTGAGGTGCAGCCCCCACCCCACCCCAGCCCGTCGCACACACACACACACACACCCCACAGGCGAGCAGCGGAACACTTAAAATTCATTCTGCCGCTCCTTTTGGATGAAATTCCGGGCGCCGAATCATCCCTCTCTCTCCCTCTTCCCTGCGCCGCCACCCCCTCGTCGTGTTCCCCGCTCCTCACACGCCCCTGCGTATGATTTATCTATCACAGTTTTGTCTTGCTGGCGGCGCTAGCGGCGCCACCGCGGCACCGCACTCGGAGGGGCCCGGCCGGGCCTCGCAAACCATTGCTGGATTACTGTCCCGTCTGATTCTCATGAATTATGGAAACTTTTTTTTTGCTCCTCCGCATGCAGCAACGGCGGTGCTTCCTGGACGCCCCATTGCCGCATCCCGCCTCCTTCACCTGCCCGGGCGGGGCGGGGCGGGGCGGGGTGGGGCGAGGCGGGGCAGGGTGGGGTGGAACAGACCGGGCTGGCAATCCCCAGCGCTAACCTTGTCCTGATTTCCATTCCGGCATTCCGCGAGCCGGTAACAACAACCCCTTTGTCCCAGGACTCGCATCAGCCCCGGCCCGGGCCCCGGCCTGGGCCACGCCGGGATCCCCCCCCCTCCATCTTCTTGCCAGACATCACCACGGCCACCTACTCGCCAAACATTCCCCTTCACCCTTGCACACCCCTCCCTCCCTCCGGCCGAAGCGTCCTCCCTTTTTCGCGGCTGCGTCGAGCTTAGGGGCAAATCGGCTTCGGCGCTGATTGTCACGATAAATACCTCCGGGAAAAGATTGAGTCGGCTTGGAGTTGGCTCGGCGTTGGCGGCACACAATATCGTTATTATCGCGGCCAAGTGGCGATAGTCAATCCGGATCACGGGGCGCGGCGCCGCTGCTGCCTTCGCCCATTTTTAATGGCGTCTCCGCGGACGGCGCAAGCAAAATTCGTCTGCTTTTTGTTTCCGTCGCGCGGGGAATAAAATGCACAGTGCAGCGGGCGTCCCGCGCTATCCCTGCTGCGCGCTGTCGTCGCTCTGTCTCTGTCGCACCCCTCCGGGGCGCTCCGCGAGTGCGACAGAGACAGAGGGATGAGCCGACCCTGCCGGCCGTTCGGAGGGCGTCGTAAAGCCGCAGCGTGAGGGGCAGTGACGCGAAGCAGCGAGGCAGCGCCGCGAAGGGTCTCTGTCGCCGTCTCTCTCGCACCGACGCGGCGCCCCGCGAGTGCGAGAGAGACGCAGCGACGAGAGCGTGCACTGTTGAGAGTCCGCCTGCAAGGCCCTTACGAGACGGATGATAAATGAAGGGAGCTGCGCCGCCACTGCTCCAGTCGAAGCCGCTTCGACCGGGAGTCGAACCCGCGACCGCGCGCGCTGAGGCAGTAACAAGCGCCAGCGAGGCGAGCGACCTGCGATACACGCTCAACGTCTCCGCGTGCGAGCTCGCTAGCGCTAATGAATTCCACTACAAGTTGAAAACTAAGTTTTCTTATCAACTGGGGCAAGCTCCGCGCCCGCCGCGGGGGCAAACCTCCGCGACGAGTGCTGCAGGTGCTCGTCTTTATTAGTCGCCACAGTCGGTCGAACTTGCGTTTCCGCGGATTCAACTCGAAAAATCGCCACCGTTTCACAAGTTTTTTGAGTTTTGTCCAGCAGCCCGCAGCGGGACTCCACAGCGCCCTGGCCGCGACTCTGCCAGTGTAGGGCGATAAGAGAGCAGGGCCGAGGGCGAGGGCTCCTGGCCGTTGCCGCTCCGCTCGGCTTGCTCGGCTCCACACGCGCGGTGCATGTCTGCGCCAGTGTGCGCAGTGTGCCCTCCCCCGGGCCCACAGTGTAATTCTCACGAGGATTTCACGCCGGATCCCCCACCAAGGACTTGCCCCTCATTCCGAGAGTCGTCCTCGTCCGCTCTGTCTCTCTCGCACGTACGCGGGACGCCCCGTGAGTGCGAGAGAGACAGAGTGACGGAAACGACTCTCGGAATCAGTCCGCAGCAGCACCACCGCGGCGCGCACCGTCCGGGCTGCCGTGCTGCGTGGCTGTGTTTGGGCGCCGCCTGTACCGCATTCGTGCCACCACATATTTTGTTTGTTTCGGTTTACCAAGAGGCCGTTGTGGGCGTGTGTGTGTGTGTGCGCGCGCGCGCTTGTCTCGAAGTAGCCGTTTGTATGGGTTAACACCGAAACGAACGCGTATATATACAGGCATCCCCGCGAGCGCCGTATGTACACGGACACAGCCAGGACACACACACACACACACACAACACACGTGGGGGTGGCGGCGGATTCGGCATATACGCGCAAGACCTCTTGCTGATAAGCATAAAAATGCTAACGCGATGGGGCGGGGCCGGGCCGGGCGGCGGGACGGCCCTCTAAAACAAGGCCCGGTCGCGCGGACCGGCAAAATCTGCGCGCGCTCTCTCTCTCTTTATCAATTCAAATGCGCGGGGGATGTAAGTGACTCACCTCCGCGGACGGTGCAGTCCCTGCTGACGACGACGCCCACGGCGTTGGCGGCCCTGCAGCGGTACGTGCTGGCGTGCAGGCCGGAGCGCAGCATCTGGGCGGGGAAGGGCGGGAAGTACAGGCTGCCGTTGTCCAGCACCTCCCTGGAGACAGACGAAGACGGCGTCAGGTTCAAGTCCAACACTCTCGTTGATCAAATTTTCGCCGCTGCTGTAATAATAGAAGTAACAGTAATTAAAGTTCTCCGCGCGCACGCACCACTTCGCTCTTTTTTCCCCCACTGCCTTTGGCCGTGACGCGATGACGCCGTTGTGACTACGGGGAGCCCTCCCCTCGTGGTCCCGGTGAGTGGCGTCGCCAGACATTGGAATAATAAACCGGTAAATACCGTCGAAGCTTTCCGGTGGGGTGGGGGTGGGCCCCGTGCCTGCTGGTACTCCTGCCTTATTTCAGGAAGTAGGGCGTCCTTCCTCTCTGCTCTCTCTCCTCCTCTCTTCTCTCCTCTCGCATCTCTCTCTCTCTCTCTCTCTCTCTCTCTCTCTCTCTCTCTCTCCTGTGGTGTGTACACGGGGACGAATGGCAGCAGTGGTTATGGCGTTCCGATCCGCAAAACACGGCGCTCCGGCTCCTCCTCTCCAGTCTCTCCAGGCAGGCTCTCCAGTTCCTCCAGCAGCCGACACATCTTATTATCCTGGAGGAGCGCGGCGCTGGAGCCGCCGAGGGCCTCGGCCTGGTGGAGGGGCGTCCTTCCTGCGATGCTGCGATCGCGGATTGCCGATCCAGGGGCATGTATGGTCGGTGGACCGTGCACGGCAGGACTGAAGGATCCTTGGCGGGCTATTCTTCGGAGCTGCATCCCTGCCCTGCGCGCTGCCCGCTGCGCGCTCCGACCGGGGTCCACTGCCGCGGATCCGGGATTATGGCCGTGTCCGCTTCGCCCAGAGCGCAGAGAGGTTTACGCCAACGACGCGAGGGCCCGGCCCTGCCCGGCCGGATAGCTCGGAAACAAAGTCGCGAAAGCGCAATGAGTTGTTCGGATGCGAAATCGCTGCGTGCTTGCTACCCGCCTTTGACGCGCTGCCTGACTTGCAGGCGTTGTTTTCGTTTTCTCTTGGTCTCTCTCTCTCTCTCTCTCTCTCTCTCTCCCTCTCTCTCCCTCTCTCTCTCCCCTCTCTCTCTCTCTCTGCGTCTCACAGCCCCTCCTCTCTCTCCCCCCGGCGGCGCGAGGCGCGAGGCAGGTCAGGCAGGACGGGTCAACACGCCGCCGCCGCGCGCGGATGCTGACACGTTTATCACATATTATCGGAGTGGGGTGGGGTTGGAAAAAGCAGGGAGAGGGAGAGAGAGGGAGAGTGATTGATGGACCTGGCGGCCTATTGCCCGCTCATTCCTCACGTTTCCTATCCCACTTTATCTGGCATGACTGGCCGCTCTGCTCTCTCTCTCTCTCTCTCTCTCTCTCTCTCTCTCTCTCTCTCTCTCTCTCTCTCTCTCTCGCACACGCACTGGCTACGCGCGAGCCCGGCTTCACGCCGTCTCCCCTCCCGCCTCACTTTTATTCTTTCCTCCTCACACAGCCTCACACACTCACACACGGGCACGCGTGTTCGCACAAACACACAGACGATTTAGCTCGGCGCTCCGGCTGATTTGTTCGCGGGGGCGGCCGGGCCCGGGGCGAGGCAGGCTCTGCCAGGCAGCCCAACCATCTAGCGATGATCGATACCCCGCCCGCGATGCGATTCATCGAGCCCGGCCGCGCCGCGCCTCGCCCTGGACCGGAAGTCTCGGCTCGCGCCCCGCGCCGCCGGCTTGGCACAGTGTCGCGGCGTCAGCGGGGGGCACAGCGGCCACAGCGCACTCCCAGGCTCGAAGCATAGTGTTTCAGTCCGTGCTTCGGCGCTACGGAACCAGGCCAGCATCACGCCAAGTTTTTCCATGTTTTCTACCCCTTCAAAAACTGATTTTTAAAACAAATATTTTAGGTTTTTATGTTTTAAGCTTAAATTGATAACGAGTTTAACTTCAGTGACCGGTCGCCGGCCGCAGGGTAGGCAACACCTGTCCCGACGCTACTGTCCGAGCGTCCTTGCCCGTCGGACGTCGGGCAGCGCAACTCATTCTGCCCCGCCCCTCGCACCCCGTCAGTCCGTCCGTCAGTCCGTCCGGAGTGCCATAGCTGCCCGCCGCGTTCCGCTCGACGTTTCGCTAGATAATTTAGTTTTGCCTCGTCAACTTTTTCCCGGCGTCGCGTCAGCGAGGCGGGCCGGCAGGCCGGCAGGCAGTCGGAGCGGAGTGTGCCTCTCGGTCTTCTTGCCGCGCCTCGCCGCGCCGACGCGACCCGGACGCCCTACGCCGGCCCAAGGCGCCCCAGGCGCCCCAGGCCCAGGTGGCAAAATAAAGGAATGGGCAGCGAAGCGGCGAAGCGCACGCCGCCGTGGCGCCAAGGCTACGGCAAGGCTGAGGCAACGCCGAGGCACTACCTGGTCAAACTTTAGAATAATAAACAAACGGCAAAGTTTTGGCAGGCGCGGCTCGGCGCGGCTCGGCGTGGCACACCGCCCTGCAGCCAGTTATTAGTATCGCCAAATAAGCCCCAACAAAAAGTCGGGCCGGGGTATTCGAACCCGGGCCCCGCAGGCGCAGATGAGCGAGAGAGAGAGGGGGAGGCGACATAGAAAGCAGCGGGAGTGAGCCCCCGGCAGGGTAGGCAAAAACGAGGCGCGTGGCGCGTGGCCGTGCAGCGGGTTGCCTACCCTGCGATTCGCAGGCGCTCCCCGCCGCGCCGTTCCCTTACAGTGCAGTGCCCCCTTTCCCCGGCGCGGCGTTTCGGCCCTCTCCGCTCCACGACGGCCAGATCAGTGTCCTGCGCGGCATCGACTGCATAAACAGGCGGGCCGTGCCGTGCTGACATGCATTCCGGCCAGATGGCGCGCCAGGCTGGTGGCGAACTGGGTTTCGCCGTCGTCTCCCTCGCACTCGCGCGCGACGCGCAGGGAGTGCGAGAGGGACGGCAGGCGGTGCGGGGCGCAGGCGGGAACATGTTTTCGCCCGAGCGGATCGGACCCGAGAGCCCCGAGAGCGCACCCGCACCGGTCGGATGTGGGGCGTTGCTGCACATCCAAGCCGGACGAGTTCTCCCTTTCCTGCCTGCCCGCTCGGCCCGCTCGTCCTACTGGGCCTCCGGCAGGGCCCCCGCAGGGCGCGGCCCGAGCCGCAGACATCACATTTTGCAAACTTAGTTTGCCAAGTTTATGAGACTGAGCCCGGCTGGCTGGCGGCTGGCGCTCGCATCGCCATGATCGCGGATGAGTGGTGGGGGTAGTTAGCCGGGCGTGCTTTAATTTTCACGTCCCCAACTTGCCCGGGAAAAGGTACGTACGCGCCCCTATCAGCCGCCGTGTGTGTGTGTGTGTGTGTGTGTGTACATGAAGTGTTAGTGTGCGAGGCCGTGCGTGATTCGGACAGGGTGCCGCTGCCGCGGTGGTTGGTGACAGTGGCGGAAAGCAGAAATAGACGCAAAGTTGTCCGTCCGCCCCGGCTGAAAATGAGTTGACAATTCTCGCACGAAGAGAGTTTTCAGCCAATTGAAACGCGGACCGTGTCAAGTGGTGGAAAGCAGGCGAGCGCGCCACGCGTAGCGAGCCCTCCTGTGAAGCGCGCTACGCACAGCGCGGGCCGGGCAACCCGCGTCACACCCACGTCACATTTTGCCTATAATACGTCGCCGGGGCTGGTCTGGTCCCTGGGCCTGGCCCTGGCCCCCCTCCTGCCTCTCCTCCTTCCCCCCGTTCGACCGCGGCGGGGCGCGGAGCGCGCGCGGCCTCGCTGAGGATGTTGAAATACATTCGAGTCATGTATGCATATCATTCCCTTTTCGAGGAGCGGATAGGAATGGGGTCCGGAGGGCGGCGGGCGGCGGGGCGGGGGCGGGGGCTGCCCTGCGGGATGTGGTCGGGACATGTCACATTCCCGGCTAATACTTTATGGTATGCAAATGGCATGTCAAACACAATGCCATTACGGAATCCTCATAGGAGCAGTGCAAGCGGCCAAAAGTGTAAAGCAAAGGAGGACAAAGAGAGGGCGTGTGTGTGTGTGCGTGTGCGGTGGGCCGCGCGGCGTAGGATCGAACAGTCTCGTATAAATTACGGCACACAGGATGACAGATTGGCGTTCTGCCTGAGACTATAGTGTTGTTTTCAGAATAAGCCGTCCGCGCTGTGTGTGCGCGTGGCGTGGCCTGACGGTGTGGTGGCCGCGCCGCCGCTCTCTGCTGCCTGTTTCCTCCCGCCGCTGCCCACTGAATGCCACGTGTGTGTGAGCGTGTGTGAGTGTGTGTTTTATCGGGGTCTGGCTCATTGTGGTAGAAAACAGCACGGCGCCGAAATTTACACTTTCCTTTCGCAGTGGGCGCCCCTCGCCCCTACACCCGCAAGACACCACCGCGGCGGCTCTGGCGGCACTACGGCCGACGCGGTACGGTATATATATCTCGAGCCGGAGCCTATATATTTCGGCTCCTCTGTGTTTTTGCCTCTGTCTGGTCCGCAGCGGGGCGAAATGGGAGTGGGGGGGTGAATTCCCCGCCTGTTGAGTGGACTCCAGCTGATAGCGTATCAGCGGAAGGAGAATCAGCGGCCTGCTTCCGGGGGAGTGCGCGCCACACTGTGCGCCGGCACACTGGCTCGTCGCTCTGTCTCTCTCGCACCTGAACGGGGCGCCCCACGAGTGCGAGAGAGACAGCGTGCCGCGCGGAGCAAATCAGGGGAATCGGCGTGGCGAAAGAGGTCGTGTCCGAGGAGACAATGGCGGCCGAGGCGGATAGCGCGCGACCTTGCAAGGCCGACCCACTGGAACTGAAAGGAGCCATCGGAGGTGTGTGACGCGAAACCACTTGCCTCACTTTCTGTCTTCCTCTTTTGTGCAAATAAAACTGGACTTTTTTTGTAGAGTCTACCTCAGGGCCTTGTTATTTATAGCATTCAGAGCGGCCCCTGACTCGGTCCTGACGAGTCCCCCGCGACGCCGCGCCCCGCCGCACCGCCGCAGTTCTGGAGCCAGATTCGCGCGAGTTTGCCGAGCTTCGGGACAAAAGGAAACACGTGCCCATATTTCATTGAGCCGCTCTTGGCCGCGAAAA